GGGAATCGTGAGAAATGGAGGCGGGTCCCGACTGAAGCGAAGGACTTCGCCCATAAATCAGCAATCTTGCGATGAATTCCGCGTCGAATCAAATCGGCTGACACACTTTTTCCTGAGAAAGATTTTTCAGACGAACATCTGACCAGATAGATGAACGCAACGGACAAAGCACTGAGAGGAACTTACACAAACAAGGAATGAGAAACAAAAAAAAAAAGAATAAAAAAGACAATGGTCGCAAAGATAGCATGCAACGAAAAAGAAATCTGCCTGCTGTAGCAACATAAGAAGCCAGAATCGCAGCGCAACTACTGAAGAGCTGCTCACCCGGTGTCACAATATCTGGTGAACGATGTAAGGAGCTGATAGCGAGATGTGCAAAATCGTCTTCCATCTGACCATCACCGATCGATAACTGAGTATTCGAAGGTACAGGCCATCTGAATACTTCAGTGAACCAATCTTTCACTAAAAAGTGATTCGCTCCAAGATTTAGCACAGGAAGCATAGAGACCGCAGTAGAAAGATCGGCACGATGGTTTCCAGTCATCTAGTAGGAAAAAAATAAAAACTATGCACCTTTTTATTGTGGAGTTCCAGGTAGCTGACCAGATAGCTGTGGGATGGTCATGATCATCCAGCAGCAGCCTGCAAACACAAGAAAAGCAGGCACATCATTCATGGATCCAAGATTAAGTGAATAATCTAACCCTACTCACCTTCTTCACAAACGCCTCCTCCTCGAACAAAAGATGACTTTGTGCAAAATCACAAATCGGTGTTCTAAAAACTCGTCTATCTCTGCCAGCGCTGTACACGAACGAGAAAGCATTGTCGGTCTGAACAACATATTGAGGGATTCAAAGGAAGTTCTGATGTTCGCTGATGAAAACAAATTCAGTTGTAAAACTGTGAAAGTAATTGTTTTTCTAATCCATAATGATTTTTATCGACGGAGAAGCATTAGAGCTGGGAAAGAAAAAGTGTGCTACGAGAAGGCACTACGCGAAGCTTCGCAAATTCGGGTTACCGCATCAGCGCCACTGGTCCATGCGTTATTTCTTTTACTCTTTCGAACTGTAAACGCACTCCACATCTCCATTTCTGTGTCCCCACCAGTTCCCACGCTCAAAGAACTATTCAAGTGATCAACCGCACAAGCAGCGTGCTCAGAGAAGCGCGATATTGCGTGGTCTCCTCTTAGTACACACCTGAAAACGACGGATGACGCAATCAAGTGCTTCAACAACACCTATGTAAGTTCAAGCCAAGCTTTGTCTGGAATTTTGCAGTTCTATACCGTTACCTTTTACATGCCAACAATCAGACAAAAGGAAAAAAACAGAAGCAAAAAGCACTAGAATCACATGAAAAATATACAGGGGGCCAAAAAAAAGTCACTTTGCTTCATTGACTTTCGAGGCGCTATAAGTTACACTTTATAAATTCTGATCGGACATTTCTACCACCATATTAAAGAGCATATTAAATACTATTATGACACTCCGCCACAGCCTTCTGGAGGAGCGCCATCGAGAGATTCTGGCACGCAACCGCGATGTGGTCCCTGAGATCAGCGAGATAGTCGATTTCTCCGCCACCGTAGACCACCCTATTGAACTCCGCCCGAACCGGGTAATTGAGGGGATTCATGACCTACTTAGATATTCCATCTTCTTTAGGTACTCAGCCCCCTTCCATTCCAGAGTTTCTCCAACGCCCTTCGATTCCACGTGGTGGCACCCAATGCTGTAGCAGTACAAAGTTTCCAAGAAGGTACGGGCGACGACATGTGGGGAAGATATTCTTCTTGAGTTGTCGATGTAACCGCCAGCGCTCAGCTTCAGCCCGGGGTCCACGAAGAAAATATTGGTCTTTCCATTCCAGGTGCGTCCGGTCCATACCATCAACCCGCGCCTTGGCGACTTGTGGGAGGTCTTGCAGATCAAGAGTACTGACCTCCAGGTAGCTATCTGTGGATGACTTCATTCAAGAAGTTTCGCAGCTGTTTGGAGGCGACGTGAATTCCAAAGGTGTTCTCCAGTCAGGCCGCGACTGGAGATGACTTCATATTTTGGCGTACATGAAGGCGATTGGCGGCAGCCTGCTCCAGCTTATAGAGGAAGATCTTGGGTATCTTCCACTCTGGTACTCATATCCACTTCCCCTGTCTGGGCTGCGAAAACTTCGTTGATATGTGGCTCGGCCGAAATGACTTTTTTTTGGCCCCCCTGTATACCAAACTATATAGGTCCCACCGACAGGATTTCATGGCTGTTGAATCTTGTACTGGTGCAGCTGCTGCAATTCATCCCTGCCCACCTCAGTAATACTGCCCATTTGCTCGACTCGTTGCGGGAGGCCAGTTTCAGACGGAACCATGTGATGGAATCGTTTGACGTAACATCCCTATACACAAACGTGTCAAACGAAGGAGCCATGCAGGCCACCTATGAACTCCTTAGTGAACATGAGGCGTCGATCAACATGTATGGCCTGTCGACAGCTCACATAATGACACTTGTTAAAGAGTGTCTCGCTTGTTCCATTTTTAGGTGGGCCGGTCAATACTACAGGCAGCTCAGAGGTCAGCGGCTGGCACCAGTCCTAGCGATTGCCTATATGTCCAAGATAGAGAAACCGTTACTGGATCGCCGACCCATCCTGTACAAACGCTACATAGACGACTGCCTCATCGTCTGCACCACAGAGAGGGAAATGGACTCGTGCTTCGACCTCCTCAATAGCCAAGCTGAGAATATTCGGTTTACGAGGGAGAAGCCTTCTAACAGTTGGCTCTCATTCCTCAATGTGCAGATCCAGCTTGAGGCGGGTTCTATCGGACCAAGTGGTACCGAAAACCTACCAACAAGAACATCTTAGTCCATTTCCGGTCGGCGCATCCTCTAGGGACCAAACGGGCTATCAACAGGAACATGTTCAGGACAGCCAAAATGGTCTCTTCAGGTGAGAAAGAAAGAGCTTAATGGCTACCCCCCAGAAGGGCAAATACCCCCCTAGACCACCCACTAGGAGTCAACAAAGTCCTGTGACCGAGGATTGGGAGAAAGTACCATTTTGCTTACCCTTCGTAAGTGATGCAATCAGCGCTGCTGTGAGATTGTCTTTGCGCAGGTGTGGTCTCGACAACATGGTTCGGTTGGTCGAGATCCCTCCTGCGAGCCTCAAGCAGCAGCTGATCCGCAACCGCGGGTATGATCGGTACTGCCCGACCCCACATTGTGTGACATGTCCTTCTGGGCGGGAGGGGACTGCATGGAATCAGGTGTGATCTACCTGATATCATGCAAGAGTTGTGGGGATGAGTACATCGGGGAGACTGGACGACCCCTGTGCTCCAGGGTGAAGGAACACCTAGATAGCCTGAGGCGATCAAGACAAGAGTCCCCCTGGGTAGTCATCGGGTTCAGCGCCATGGAGGCGCGGAGTTTGAGGTGACGGTTAGGATTTTGATGCGAGAACCACAGACTTCGGCGCGCAAAACTTTGGAAGCGTTTTGGATTAGCGCTAAAAATCCCAGAATGAATAGAAAGGACGAATGCCTGACCATCACAAACGAGCTCGCCCCGTTTGCTGACCTGTGTGGGCTTCAGTTGCCATCGGCATCAAGTAGAGCGGTCAGGTCAGCTGAAGCCACCGACGGGGAGTCTATTTAGCGGTGGTCTCAAACAAGAACCGGTCGTGCATTAAAGGTGAGTCGTTTGTGGTTGTGTTCTATGACTTTCTGGATCCTACTGGTCTGGGACTAGCTTATCTGAGGTTTGAAATGATTTCCGAGGGTAGTTTCACTTTGATTTTTGACTTTTTCCAGGCTCTGACGAAGGCGATAAGGCGCCGAAACGTTAGCCAATAAAACTTTTATACCATCTTGGTTACGGCTAAAGCAATACCCTATAGGAATTCAAAGTATGCCAAGATTCATCGAGAGTCGAACCTGGACACTTATACCAAACTAATTTTTGTCAATGTTGTATGCCTAATTGTCACTAACACATTACGAAAAAAATGAGACCCAGTCTATACCTGTAACGTCCAAACACCTTCCTGATGAACTAGACATGTAGCAATACATCGCTGTTGTCCCAAATCCCATAACCGAACTGTAGCATCCGCGCTGGCCGAGAGACACTGAAGGGAACAGAAATTTTGACCATTGATAGTGAAAAATTGCGAACAAATTCATTTCTCTCCAAAAAACGACCACCATGCTAAAATATGAAAATGTACTTTTGTGCCATCAGGACTGATAACAACAGCTCGTATGTTCTCGGTGTGTCCCCGTAGCTTCATTATTTTCTGACACGTTCTGGGATCCCATATTCGAAGCACCTGTGAAAAATAACTGCTTCAAAAAGCATCTCGCACATCCATCAACCTGAAGATGAAGCAGAAGAGTTATAGTGCCTTGTGCATGCATTCTTTAGGATTCTGGAGGCTTTTTCAGCACCTACCACTATTTCCCGGCTTGACCTTTACTACTATCCTTGCTGCAGATTCACCACCAAGACCGGCATTGCTCTCCTATTGTGAGCTCGTTCTTTTTCCTACTAGGCTAGGAGGGTAGCGCTTTGCTAGTGTGGTGTCGCTGTGGCACAGTGGCTCGTATAGCATGAGATCCATGTTTAGAACGTAAGCATGAGGTTAGAATCCCAACTTATTCTGCCATCAATTCGGCCATCTTTACGAAACATCTAGGGGGTGGTGTATTGGGAAATGGCTCGCTAAACGCGCGGGGTCACGGGGTCAAATACCGGATAGGCTGACTCCCAGGTTAACCAGGCCTTCCACCCCTTGGGGTCGGTAAACTGCTATCAGATTCGTGGGAAGATAAGAACACCCTTGGCGATTGGCTGACTCTCTGCAAGTTATTGTATAGGCTACATCTCACCTAATAAGCCCCTACAATTCTGAGTGGAAGTAAAATGCGTGCCGTATCCCAGTGAAGGATTACTCGCACTTTATCCTTCATCTCGAAAGTCGACAGATCAGCGAGGCAGTCAATGTTTCAGGAGCAACATCAATAAAACAGGCTGGGGTTTTGAACGACAAACGCCATGTGATAACGAAGGATTCAGATGATTGCATAGGGTTATACGACGTCTTAGCAGGAAGGAAGGTATGCGATTAGTTGAATGCTGAAAAAAATTTTGGCGAAAGGAGATTGTTCAAAAGCGATAGCATTCTAAGGGTTAAGCATTGATTTTTTTTTCAAGGTAATGTTTTCCCAGGTAGCTGATTTTGGTAAGAGACCGTTCGAGGACGTGGTACTGGAACACAATAGGAAGGTATTCGTACCGAGCTGGTTCTCTGTTGATTACAAAAGCGGGGTATGATCTGCCAAGAACTTCATGGCACGATTCACTTGTTTGAATATTATTTTTCAGATGCTACAGATAACGCTTGAAGAAGGAGACGTGTTCTCGGCTTGGTTATCTGCGAAGGACGCTGGCGTGGAGGATTCAGATAACAAAAGTGAATTAATCATTATTTTTTCGTGTTGTATCAGGTTGGCTCATAAGTAATGGCGTTTTTTTCTCACACCAATTTTTGTAAGGAAAGTGACAGATATTTCCAATACGTTCCACAATGTTGATAGATAATTTTCTGCTCTATAGTATAGTATGGTTGTCTTTCTACCGTTTCTTGATTTCTGTCGATTTTTATTTCATTGAAATGGAGTGTCGGGTCGACACAAAAGTGAGTTTTTGACAACAACTTTTTGCATTTTATCTCGGCTCTCAAATCACAGAAGAAAATCAAAACTTGTGATGTATATGACCAGGGGAAGATGCTCTATGGCAGCTTAAAGCTGGCTCAAGCGATCAAGAAATGGGAATTGGGACCTTGTGAATGTGTATTTCATGGGGGGCCTCTTGAGGAGCGACTGCCTGCAGAACCTACCGCCTAACTTTTGAACGTCTAACATCAACTGAGGGTGGTGCTTGATAATGATAAGGAAACATTCCATGACCTCTAGAGGTTCAATATTTGGCATGAATATCCGTGGATAAGGTAATCGGTATGCTCTCAGTTGGACTCAATAGGGCATCAGGTTCGATGTTTGTCTGTCAGGTCGGGAGTGATATCTTCGAATAACTTGGATCGTTGTGAGCATTTCTAAGAGACATAGCTACTTGGCTATATGCTTAGCAACTGGACGGCGGTTGTAGCTTTTTGATGAAAAGTAAAAAAGAGGCTGTCAAAAATGCTTATTTTCTGATTTTCTATTTTTCCTGACAAACCCAGTTTAAGCACTTAAATATTTGTGAAATGAGAAGAAATGAGAAACTTCAAAGAAACTAAGAGGACTGTCGCAAAGTGCGAGGAATTCTCTGCAAAACAGTATAAAACTCAATGGCAAAACTTCTCATCTTTAGCGCGATATTTCGAGTGAGAAAAACCCAGTTACTTATTGGCCGCCCCAATATGTTATTGCAGTGCATGCGAGCGTTCGTGAATAATCAAGTGAATTTTGCCTTTCACATATCGTTTTCTAAGTTTACACTTTATTTCCAAAACTCGGCGGCACAGATGGTCTAGTGGCAAGTGGTCCGCTTACCACGAAAGTGGTCCGAAGGTCAATTGAATTGTCTATTCCTGCCCAGGCTAGCGAACCTCCCTCCCTCCGGGAAACAGACAAATTAGTATCAGACTTATCTAGGATGATTAGAACATGATTTGCTCACAACGGCGGTTCCTCGCAAGTCATAGGGTATAATATCACATCCTACAATACTACAATTTTGAATGGAACTGCAGTTCGAATCCCATCCTGAAATAGACCGGTCAATGGCAAGAGCTTCGCTTTTCTTATCTCTTCCGAAATTCGGTGACCGTTAGTCTAGTTGTTTCAGGATGCATGATTTTAGCCTTGATAAATAGTGCTCAATACTTGCAGTCAACTATGGTGGAATGATGCTTCGGTCACTGTTCGAGCATTACCAGAACTGCGATATGGGTGCAGAAGGATCCGAAACAGCGCTGGCGACGGCTGGCTATATTTCAATTCCGGGTCACACTCCCATCATTCTATCGTTAGTGGATTCTTCCTTTTTCACAGTCGAGCGGAAGTTGCTAAATATGAGATTAAGGGAAGTCAACGGACGCACAGTTCTACGACTGCTAGTACGTGATGCTGCTAATGAGGCGGAATCGGCTTGCTTAGCCAAGGATTTGCCGGAATGGGTATGTAAAATATTACGGTGTAGGGATCTGCACTAAATCGTTGATAATCCAACTAACTACTCAACTAGTGACTACTCAACTGACTTATTCAACTACTGTCACTTAAGATTACCGCAGTTGTTGAAAGAAGCATGCTTCCGAAATTCACAAAGATGCCTTTTTATTTGCTGCCACATGCTAGCTTGAATGTGAAGACGCCAAAAAAGTGAGTTTTTTTTACCACGTTCATCACACTCACTGGTAACCTTATATTAAGAGATCGCCTTTCTGCCACTGAGATGTTGCAAGTTCGTAAAGTAATGGAACATGTGTATGAGAAGATATTGAATAGTCCAGAATCAGCAATGGGCGAGACACCTATGCCCGTTCAGATTCCGACCAATATTGAGCAAAAGATGGAGCTTTACTGTAACGATCAAGTAGGTTTTTTTTACATAGCCGGAAGAATATTTTTCTGAGTGCACCTCCTTAGAGAAGAATTGTCGAAACGATTTGTGGGTTGGGGGGAGGGGGTGGGCAGAACTAGAGTGGAAAGGCAGGGCCCATCATGTCGATGCATATCATGTTCTGTCTGCGTCGCTGCAAGTACGACTAGCTTACAACATGAAAGCCTAGTTTCGGTGAGGGGACACAGTGCGCTGGGAACTGTAAAAAACTTTTAAAGACAGCTCCCGCGATAAAAGTCTCATGGATAGCTGCTTTCCAATTATGAAACAGCAGCTGATAAGTAATCTCCCAAAGAAGAAAACAGGCAAGAAGCGTTCTCCAGAACAACATAAACAA